AAGGTTGGCTGTGTCATTGCTGTTTGTGTGTCTTACATGTTCACAACGTTTTACCTCATGAGCATTTGCCTCACTCCGCTTGATGTCCCACCAGTCCGGATGCACCCCTGCTAGCTTTCGTCACCTACCCTCGGCCTCAAGTGGACGGGAGCGATTGAAGGGCAGGTTTGGGTTTTGTGGTGCTAAACTGCACTGGAATAGTTGGATGTTTGAGCGCCACCGGGGTGGGCCACTGATGATGTTAAACATTTGTTTGAAGAGCCGCATGTTCAGTTTTAATGGATGAAATAGAGGTGGCAGTGTGGTTTTTCAGGGTGTCAAGCGCCAATTTGGCGGCGAAATAGAGGTGGCACACTCCAGCAAAGAGCTTGGAGTTGAGCATGTTCGGTGGGTTTGCCATGTTAGTTTTACATATCGAAGTTAATTGTGGGACAAATGTGAGGTGGATGAACATAGGACAGCATTTAGGAAATCCAGCTTGCTGCCGCCTATCCTAGGTCCTAGGCTTCGACGGATGCGTGATGCTTTTGTTATAGTAGTTCTAAGCGGAGAGGACATGATAGGAATAGACGGATGATTTCAGAAACATCTCACCTTTCCCGCCTTTCCCTCACCACAGATGGCTTCCCACACCACGCGCCATCGGTGTCTTTCGTTGTCACCAGGTACTCTGGAGCCAACCGCCCGATGACTACTTGGCACGTGGCGTTCTGGTGTGCGAGGCAGAAGTGGCCGAAGGGCGGCGTTGGGACATGCACTTCGAGCTTGCGCCGTTCCGGTGAGACCGAGCACGGGCGCAAGGGATCCAGTCATACCGAACCTGAGGAACCTCAGGTTCGGTACGATTGGACTCTCCTGGCACCTATATTATAACAGTGTCGAAGACATCACCTTCTGAGAAGGTACTTGGATCCCTAGGGTTGAACATTAATATACACATCTTTTGGAGATGAGATCCCCCACTGACTGATGCAATTTTAGTTCTTGCATGTTGCCTCCCCCATGGATCGTTTCACATCAGCTGCCTGCTAGACTGCCAATCATGCTGAACACTCTAAAGCAAGAATTCCATGACATGGTTCTGTGCTTGTAACGAAGAATCACCCATGGGGCGTCCAGTTTGGCGGACTTTTGACCTCCGAGTTTTCCGTCCACAGGTGTTGTCATCCACCAGGTGTTGATTCAGTTGATTCCTTGATTCAGCAAGGCTCAAGCACAAAAAACAACCAGTGCAAGCCTCGCCTGAGGAAGTCTCGCTCATTGTTGGCTGAGGTCTCAGCAGCCAGTCTTAGAGGGGTCTAGAGGTCAGTGACTGCCAGTAACAAGTAAAGATCAAGCGTCCTGTACCGGCACTGCATAGAATCATAGACTGATTGGAATCTTTGGAAGTCAAATCCCCTTTTTTTGCGAAGCTGCGGAGTATGCCAGGAGGGTGAGTGGAAAGTGCACACAGAGGTCTTGGACAGCAACAACTCCGCTTCTTGGACAGCAGAATACAGCAGGTCAAGGGTGTTGTGAGATAGAGGGATGCCATCATGGGTAGATAGATGTACAGTAGATAGAATTATGGGACATACTTTTGGTTAACAACCACACCCACTCAAGTGTTGTTTGACTTCCCTATGTGAGCCAGACCGCTAGGATCAAAAAGTGCAAGGTAGTTTGGAAATGGTTGTAGGGTTTCTAAGTATATGCGCGTTTTGTTCCTTGAACAATTGCAATACTCTCACCCAAAAGTCAGCGACAACATACTGACCTAGGAACACTTGGTCCAACTTAGGTACATCATATAGCCAACTGTGGTCGGGGAAACAGGACATGCTTCGGGTTGGAGGGTTGGATGATGTAAAGAGAAGTGTTAAGAGAACTGTTCAACCAGGGTTTAAGTAAACACAGAACCGAGAAAGACAAAGGGAAAGTGATGCTCTCTTATGAAGGGCTGTGACTTCAGCAACTCCTACGTTGGACTGGGAGGGTAGGTGCGGACTGAAGAAGGGCACACTCATTGAAACGATGAAGTGGATGGCACCACCTGTTTGTGAAGGAGAATGGTCGCCACCTGGGGTATTGTTCCAGAGAATGTAGATGGTGGTTGGGACTGGAGTAGTTAATAACGTTTACTTGGCTTGACACCATTCATCCTCATGGCCCTTTTTCAGGGACGAATTGGCTTTTGTATCGGCAGCTATTTGTCGCATCGGGACGAATGTGTTTCGATTGGTAGAAGTTCCGGGCAACGAGTTGCGAGTTGCGACCCAAAAAGCTGATCAACGCCTGCGGCTCCTGCCCCCTATCATGAGAGAGAGAGAGAGCGAGAGCTGATGTCAGAAAGTTCGTCCGACATCAACGTTTGGTTCCACAGTTCCACGCGATCTACATCGATCTACCAACCTCATTGTGTGGCTGAAGCTAAATGAGAATGAACAGTCCAAAGCGATCAAGGGTCTAGATTTCTCCCACTGAGGCAGTGCCCTTGGAGGAGTCCCTTGGCACGCCAAAGCCAGCAACTGAAGCGTCTATGACCTGAATGCTTGTAGGATTTGGTCAGAAAGAATTGACATAGCGTTGCCTCTCTATACCAGGAACCTCTAGGACCTAGAGAAGGTTCTACAAGGTTCTACATGTTGATCTGCTTGCAGAAGGGGCTCACTGTTTAGAGCCCATTGGCTGGAGCTTGACCGGTTTTGACACACAGTTTTTTCCGAGCCGGAATCGTTCCACCGGTCCCCACCGGTCCCCACCGGTCTACGTCCTCCGGGCGGCGGCTTCGCGCGTGCGTCGACGTGGTCACCGGGCCATGCGTCGGCGCGATCGGCGCGTTCCGGCGCGCAACCGGCTTCAGGTGGCAAAGCACGGCCATCGCCTGGGCGTTGGCGAAGGAGTTCGCGAACACTTCGGTGATCCCCGGGTGCGGAGGGGCAAGTGACCCCCGACGTCACGTCACCCGACGGGGCAAGAGTCGACCTGCGGTGCATTGTCAGGCAGGGTGGAGGGAGCTGTCAAAAAGTAGCGAAGACTGATTAGATCTGATTAGTATGAAAGAAAGCATTGTTGGCAGCTACTTCGGGTGGACAGAAACCTTGAAACCTATATATTATATGAAGTATCCAGCAAAATGTTCATCCAGCATTGCTTCCCAGTTCACTTCTCAATCTTCCGATCATCACCTCCCAACTCTTTGGTTTGCCATGGGCAAATAAAGTCACATAGATGAATATGTTGGCCATTGATGTACTTTCAGATCAGATCAACCACAGCTATAGATGATGTGCATTCTTCAACTTTGCTGCACCCTCCAACCAACAAAAAAACATCGGCAACCATTAGCCAATGCTTCAAACGAAAACGCCACTCAACCTTGCACCCTTCAAAGGCGCGTGGCTGACTCGACCGAGCCTTTGCTATAGGCGGATTCGATTACCTCGGTGGCCGCGGACATCCGTGATGGGCACTTCATCGACCGCCGCTCGCTCGGGGTCGGGTGTGGTTCAAAGCAAAAGCGGTGAAATAGCGGTGAACGGAAGGAGGTGTGTTCGAGATCGATTGTTTTCAGCGAACTGGGACAGGTGACAGGAGAGAGTTTTGAGCTTTGGACGAGGGAATTCTCGTGATGAGAAAAGGAGCTTTGAGTTTTGAGCTTTGAAAATCCCAGCCAGATGAAGGGAGAGTTTTGGTTAAATTGGGGTTTTCTGAGTTTTCTGGGTGCATCCATGTGCATCCCATTGTGTCAAGTGACCAGAATGTTGGGATCTGGAATGTTGTTGTAGTACTTGAGTTGAGGTTCAGCCAGTCATGTTTTCAACAGCCATTCTTCTCGGTAGGTACTCTACACCTGGAAGAAATCCTGAATCCTGCAATGGATCATTTACAGAATTCCACTTCAAGGATATCATTCCACATCATCCCGCCATGCTCCAATCTTGCCATCCTCGTCAGTAGACTCCTACTGCAAGACCCCACTATGCCATTCTATTGTTTTGTTTAGTCCACCTTTAGTCAATGCCTTTTTGTTGACATCAAATTGGAAAGCAGATGGGGCTTGTAGGACCCACCCCCAAAAACGAACAAAACCAACCGCCTCGTCTTCATCACCATGAGTCACTGGCCATTCATTCAGCCACCGTCAGAGACGCGCCCAAGAGAACACAGAATTTAGGGCTGCAAGTACCTCCTCAGAAGGTGTTTGGACCCTCCTGGCACCCACCCCAGTCCCATCTTCTCAGAAGGTGCGACTGGAGGTTTAGGGAGAACAATAGTATGATCGGTCGATTTGCTGGGGAAGGCGACCAATCTTTGAAGTCGGCACGTCGATCTGCGTTCTTCTTCGTTGCACGATCAGAGCACCTTTTTTGTGTCCAACCCGTGCAAGCAGTTCGGAAGTGTCCAATGAATTCAAGTATACGTAGAGTTTACCCCTGGAAGGTCTACTTCGACGATATTTGGCACCGATTCTTAGAAGGTTTCAAAAAAGAACTCCTATTACTTCAGGACACACCGAGTGATGTAAAGCGTCGACTGGACTCTCAAGGGCCACGGCTCCGCCAAGAGAAGTGTCCTGGTCACGAGTACGAGAGAGCCATCAAGCACTGTTTACAGTTTCAACCGAACCTCATGATTAGGCTCTTCCCCCCTCATTCACCATCAAAACCGGTCTTCACTACCGGACCCCATAAGTCCAACATGGGGAGAAGGGTCCCCTAGCTCACCCTTAGCTCACCATCTCCGCATGGGACGAAGGGTCCAGCTGCTCGTCGTCCTGGGTCGCGCGGGGCCGGTCGGACGTCGTGGGTTCGAGGACTCTTCCAGTCGCTCTACGTGGTCTCCCCCCGCAGGTGGACGCTCCGCGGGATCAATGTAGGAGAGGTGCAGAAACGAAGAAACGCGCCAGACATCTGGTGGGATGGGGTGAGTCCAAGACTCAAATACGCTCTGTGTGATGTTATTTATGGCATATTTACTTGCATGAGGGGCAGCTTGAGGGGTCAATGAGGTATGTGTATACCTAGAGCTTGACCCTGTTTTGAACGGAAATTGCCTAATATGTTGGATAATTAGCTGTTCCTCCACAACAGTGACCACTCAGGCTCTATCTAGGTACAGTATACATATCTAATATATTCTCCCGTCCCGTGCTGTGTTTGGGTCCGGTCCGTCGAAGCTCATCCTTTCCCAAGATCCGGATTGCTGTGGGGTGGCTCAATGCGGCACAGCCCGGCAATCAGGAGCTGGCATTGATTACTATCCTGTTTGCCTAGGAGAGCGTGGCAACAGCGCGCATGCCGTGGCGAACTTGTGATGTTTTCAGGGGAGCTGGAGACCTCAAACAGGTGCTTTGTTCATGTAGAAGTTCGTGCCAGCGTTGCACGTTTGAAAAGAGTTTTAGAATGGTTCCAAGACAAGGAGGGGTGTCCGTGTTGGTTCTTGCAGGTTTTTTTGCATTGGACATGCGAGCATATCAACTGGGCAAGCAATCTCCATATCTCCATTGCGCCAAAAAGCTGCTATCCCTTCGCTGGGCGGGCGCAGTTTTCGGGGCTATAGACGGTGTTCAGGTTCCCTTCTCCTTTGAATGTGCCCATATGTGAAGGTTGTTTGACACAGAGAGAGAGAGAGAGAGAGACAATGGCTAATGGACTGAATTTCTTGTCCTCAGACATTTGCATCTTCATGACTGCCATGCAGTGGACGCAACACAAGGAGTACAATTGATCTATGGTTCCCTTTTTCAAGCTGCGCCTGTTCCTTTTGCTCGTGTTTGTGGGCCTACACGCAACCTTTCTGGATTTTTCTGGCTTGGGGCAATGTCATGTACTACGCTTAGTTGGAGGACTATTTTTTTTCTAGGCAGTGCATATATATATATATATATATTATATACACATCAAGCACTGCAAGGCAAGAACAACCTGATTTCAGGTCCTTTCTTGTTGGAAAACCACATGATCAGTATCTATCGGGAGGAACCATCTTCCATATTTTTTTGCATCCCTCTGAACAAAAGGCCCTCCAGCTGACCAAAGAATAGATTGGCGCTTTTGCACTCGGAGGGTCCGCCAACACGGTGGATCTTCCTTGTGAGGAGAAGATACCTACTGCAATCAAGATGACCCACTGGATCTCTGGACGCTTGGATGTAAGTGGGGCCTGAAGATTGTTGATAAGCTGATAATGCCAACAGAATGTATACAGGTCAAATACGTCGCTCGATTGTCGTTCGAGCCTTCGCGAGCAATTGTGGACAGCTGGGAACTTGGGACACGGCTGCTCCACGTGGATTTTTCTTGGCAGAATCGACGGGGCACCCAGCACCACCACGCGCAACGGACAGCCCGCACACCCCCGTTGACGTTTCCCCTGGTTGCGATCTGGAGTTCATCCTGTGTGTGTGTGGTGTGTGTTTGTCTCAAAAGTATCGTTGCCCAAATGATGTGCATGAATCCAATTTATTTATATTGGTTGGCAAGTTGGTGATGTGCTTTGCTTAGCGCTACATGTTCTCGTTTTTTTTCCGTAGCAGTGATTCAAGAGCGAGCTTGGGTAAGGCTTTTGTGCCTATCTTCGTCGCCACATTGCTACAAGAAATTCATCTCAATGCCAGGAGTCAGGGGTAAGGACATTGCACCATTTATCACCATCTTCAAAACTCAACATGGTTGGCAGTTTGTGTTTTATCAGTCGGCCAAATTCTACACAAATTCTTTGAGTTGCAAGCGGATATTTATGTATATATAACTCCCAATATGTTTTGCAATGAAGATCTTTAAAGGGCTGACACACGGAAAGTCTTAGACACCATGCGCAATGCGTCGACTTGAAGCTTTCGTAGAAACTGTGATGTCGGTTCAAGTGACATGTTGCGGCAGATTCGATTTAAGGTTTATGAACACGATGCTGCGATGTGATGTAGATTGGTGTTAGATTCTTGTTGCGTCTATCAAGAAAAGTGGGGAGGGGGTTTGGGGGAGTTGCGGCCAAAGTGGTTCAGTTCGTTGTGGGTGCGTAACAAGATTACACAGATGATGTTGTTTAGTGATGTAGAATGACTACGCGGATGACCTTTCTTCGGTTCATGTCACGTCTACATGTTTATCTTGGGGGGTCCAGGGCCCCGCGTTTGAACCAGAACACAATCCGACCAAGCCTTGGGTTTGCATTGCAAACGTGCCACGTGAGGCGTTGAACACAAGCATTGTTTTCAATCGGCAAACCTGAGGCAACCAGCGTTCAGACAACACAACCTGACAACAAAACCTACATGCAGCTGCTTAGAGTCGCACATGCGCTGTAATTTACAGTGTAAACAACCCAACGCCAAATTTATGGTTGGCATTGGGACATGTTTCAATATTTTTCATATGTTTTACGCATTCCTCGACATGAAAGATCAACAGTTGCAAAAATGATGAATCCGCAACTTGACTTGCGTGATGAAAGCAGCCTTTGTAAAATTCAGGTTTACTGCGTCCAGCCTACACATCTTGACGCGGCATGTTCGTTTTTTGAAACTTTGAAAGTATTCGCAGTTGATCGGAAACGCAGCCACACTCCGCCAAAAACTCGTGCTTGCTCAGAGAACCGCACGTCTGCGGTACGGATTGTGCGCTTGGTACATTTGGGCTGTCTATTCTGTGAGAAGGAATTTAAGAATAGGCAGGGGCAGCAACCTTGCCTCATGAGCTGATGACCAAGGAGGTGAGTTCAATACATATTGAATGACTCATTACGGCATAATCCTGGTATATGTCACCATGGTTTTACATAAGGATTTTACATGATTTTGCACTACGAAACCAGCTCAACCAATTTACAAAATGGTCGTCTTGGACTTCCAGGCATCGTAGTTGTTGGAGCATCGGAGCGCTCTTTCGCCCCATCGCTCTGCAGCTCTGCACCGAGGCTTCGTTCAGAAGCCATGCAGGCGCTCTTCGTGGATGCAGACAGCTGCCTGGAGTACGGGAGAATCGATTTGTTTGGAACACACACAGTGGATTGAGAGGTTCGATGGCGATGGCCACAATGTTCGAAGTTTGATGGTTTAATATTGACCCCCATCTAAAAGTGCTGTTGGGGGTTGCGCCATCTACTACAGTTGGTGATGTGATCTAATTGTATTTTCCACAAAGAACATTTGCAGGATTCATATGTTTGCCCTGGTCGGACAACTTTTTTTGGATCAGACTGCTTCCAAGCTAGTCATTAGTCTCAGTTGTTGCGCACCCCGAGGCTATCGGCTACAGCAAGCCATGAAGAAGGCGCAACTGACTGTATGCTGTGTGTTTTCCTGGCACAGCTTCGGAGCCAGGGGGACGGCAGGGCACGCATGCAAAGCAGTGGCAGGAGGGGTTGAAAAGCTCACAGCAGGGGTGTCACCAGCGGAAGTGATGAAGTGCTCCCGGGAAGTTCGTGGAGGCTTTCGTGGAGGCCTCTCATGGGACATTGGCTTTCTGCATTGCTGCAGTGCCTTTGGAAACTCTGAACTGCATGTGGCAGCTAAGACAAAAGCACTGCGTTGGTCTATGTGTGCTACACCTCTTGAGTGTCGGAAGCATTCTGAAGAAATCATGTCCCACTTCATACCGGTGAATCTCATTCAAACCTGTCCTGGACTTTCGTTTCTAGACCTTTGACTTCACCGCTGAACTCTGCTCCTTCGGCGCCCGCCTTGCGGCGCCTCCTCTCACCTCGACAGGTCACTGCTCAGCGGTCCAACGTGGAGGACCTGGAGCTCGTGACCTTGGACCGAGCCCTGTCGCCTGTGGACGTGGAGGCGAGCGAAGCGAGCGGAGCGGAGGCCACACTGGGGCGACGCCACACGTGTGGACTGGCTGTGGGGGACAAGAGGCAAGAGGGGGACGTAGTGGTTGGGAGGCCCGGGAGGTGGTGTTTTGGCGGCGGATTTGATTTGATTGGTGTGTCCTTTGCGAAGTCTGTGAGATGTGATTGAGTTCGAAATGAACATGTTTCGACAGGATCCCACCATTGGTGAGTATGGACAGTGACAGCGCTCCTTCCCTTCTACACCAAAAATGATGCAATGTCAAGTCAGGAGAGGAAGAGGAGCTAAGGCTTATCATTTCACGTGCTGATATGATCATCAATCTCCAAAGCGCGAGGTATGTACGGGAGAGGTGATCCAGGCCCACATTGATGAGCAGCTCAGCCAACCCGTTTTGAAACAGCAAAGCCTGGGTTTTGACAAGAGCTTGCTTTACCCATGAACTTGTAAGTAATATTGTGACATTGTGTTTATTGATCATGTCATAGTGGCCATAGGGTCAATTGTGGATGACCTGGAGTTGCAATTTGTGAGCTATACCTCCCTTCGAGAATCTATATACTGTATCCGGTAGTTAGCAAAGTACTCATCACCATGTTGGAATATGGCTGTGACAGTGGCTGTGAGTCAAAAACTACCAAACCATGGGCGCTTCACATCCCGTATAAAGGGATTTGTTCATTTACAAATATTTTCAGGGGTCAACCAGGGGCCGCCTGGCCTGTAACGGTCCCAATCATCTCGTTTTGGTCGCGACTTGACCTACGTCGGCGGCCAGGCCGGCCTTTTGGATGAGCTTTTACTCGACATCTACGAGGCCAAGTGGGTAAACGCATGGGGAAAACGGACAATGCATGGTTCATCCATCCATTCACCTGAATGATGTGGGTTTGGCGAAGCACAGTGGTTTGGTCAAGGGGACCAAGTGGAAACCAACTCACCAAAGCTGTGAAGGAATGGGCTGACCCGATATTCACATCCAGCAGCAAAGGAATGATTGATCTCGGCGAGGCAAATCATCAGCTATTAGACATACTGCCGCGAAAGGATGCACATCTAGGTCACAAATCTAGGTCACAGTCGCACTGAAGAACCTTTCAACACATCAACACCTTCTCATTGATGGTACAATCATTGATGGGTATACCGTATACCTTCTAATCTAGCTAGCCAAATGGTACAATCACGGGTGATACCTCCGGCACAATGTTTTGTTTGTTGGCACAGCGCAAGAACACAGTAGACAAAGCAGAGATCATGTTGATCACTGTATTTCAGTTTTGTTTAAAAGTAGACGGTTGATCAACAAAGTCACCCCTAAATAATGGTAAGACATCTCCAGGATTGGGTGGTGTTGTGAATTAACAGTCAACATTCATGGATGCAGCCACAAATCATATATATAATACAGTATATATGTGTGATATATATATATATAATATATCATGGGTTCAATCATTTGGCGTTTCTGTTCTTAGTCCGTCCAGTCTGTATACTTTGGTGCCGTGGTCGTTTAAACAAACCGGGTCCCAGTCTGCCGGGGGGGGAGTTTGCTCGTCCTCGTCCTCCGAGTCACGCAGGGCCAAGTGGATATCATCAAGATTGATATCGACTCCTATGTGCCTCGGCCTGGACAACTCCCGTTCGACCCCCACGACCCGCCAAAACCACCGAACGGCGACACCGAACGTGCCTGGTGCAGGCTGGTGGGGGGGGGTGAGAGCTTCTCTCCCACTGAAGGGTAGAACGACCGTCTTGGATGGGGGAAGGTGAGGGTGTGATGGGCGCGGCGCGGACAGAAATTAAATTCGACGATTAGGCACTGGTGGTTGATTTGTTTGTGGCATGTCCAACATGCATGCAGGATCAAGCAGAGAAATTGACATCCGATGTTGCCAGCGGAGTGGAAATTCTGGTTGATACAAGTACCGCTGGCAACAGGATTTATGGTTGATTGCAAATGGTTGGGGCAACATTCTGGTTGATGGCAAACATGCTGGTTGATGCCAACATTTCTTTCAGTTTGCCATCAATGTTTGGGGAGGGAGGTGTCAGATGAACCACTCGACTTCATCTCCGGAGATGGGTCGATCCTTAGAGCCAACATGCCAATTACAGTTTAAAGCCCGCTACCCCCGCCTACTAGTAACAAGGGCATCGCAACTGGTCCAAATGGTCATGACATGACGGGAGGTGTTTCCTTTTTCGAAGTGGATACCCGCTGAAACACCACAAAACATCGCACTGTGATTTCTCCTTCTCCGCTTGAATGAGTAGCATGTGCAGGCGAGAAACATGGAGCGTTTTGAGCGTTTTGTTTGTCATTATGTTTCCATGATTTTCCTGATACAAACAACGGAATTTTGTTATTTGGTGATGTTGAGACATACAGATTGACATGCGGGATTGTTTGCATGTCCAATCCAATGTATCAATGGTAGAGACATGAGCCCCAGGCTGGTTCCGACACTAAATGCAATAATGACCATGTCTCAAGCTGCGGAACATATTCCATTTTTAACCATTTGTCATCTATATATATATATATATGTACAAACCCACTGAACGCCAGTAATCTATCACGTTTTGCTCCTCAGGATTGTGCCTTGCTCAGGGCCTTGCTCGAGAAGGCGTCCGGAAGTTCGGCTTGGACCCTCCTGGCACCTACATACCAGTGTCGAACACATCACCTTCACAGAGGGTGGCAGTGGATCCCTAGGGTGTGGTGAAACATGGTGAAAGCTTTGCTGGCAGAAAGAACAAAGTTCCCTCAGACATTCACGGCGTCGTCATATGGCATACCGGCATAACATCTGAACCTTGAGCCTGAACCCACTTTGGAGAAATGCTGGTGGGTGGATGCTTAAAGACTATGAAGAAGATGGGTACTCATACTCCTTTTCAAACGATCCCATGAAACCTGAGCATTGACCGGTGCTTCCGATCATTTTCCGAATACCAATCCAGGTGTTTTGGGGGTCCATGTTAATCTGCAGGGGAGTACGGGTGTAACTGTCTTTTATAGGGTGTTCCGGGTAGAGACCCGCCAAATACCAACTCATTCTGCCGGGTCAGCTAGTGAGGGAAGCACAGGATCAGTGAGGGTCAGCTGTGGATCAGTTGCCATCGTTGATCTTGAAGCCCACATCGAAATGGCACTGAGCACCCTTTCCCATCAGTTTGGGGTGATCTCACGCTGTGCAGTTCTGTGAGTTCTGTATCTGACTTGCTACAGCTGCGTCACTGTTTTTGCAGGATCTCTAAACAGGTTGCTTTCCTTTTCCGATTGGTTGGTTTCTACAAGACACAGCACAACACGGACACAACACGGACACAGCACGGAGAGCCCCCGCTGACCGGGCCACAGGTGAGGTCCTATGTCTTGGTGTTGGAATCCCAGCCCCTGTGCCCCGGATGACAGCCATGGGCGCGAGGGTAACATACGCAACTATAGGTAGGTAGACGGTAGACTAGCCAAACTCCTTGGCTATCTTGACTCCTTCCTTATAAAACAGCTCCACTAACTCCACCTGCCCTGGATTTTGACTCCAAAATGAAGCAAAGTGGGCAGGACTGGCCTAGTGACCTAGTACTTTCGTGCTTTGACTCGCCCAAATCTCCCACGCGACGACCGAGCGATTGATTGCGCGGTTTGGGAACCTCGGGACCCCGGGGGCTTTGGGGGCACTCTGCTTGGAGCGTTTTACAACCACAACGGCTTCAAGGTCCGGAATCCCGAGGTCCTCTCAAGGTCCGTTCCGATCGGTTGTTTTTCTGCTTGTTTTCCTCATGGACTGAAAGGTAGATGGGGATGGGCAGATGGGGACGCAGATGTCTTGGACATGTGCGAGATGGACTTCGAAATGGCACAAGAATGAGTTACTCTAACCTTATTGCAAAAACATCTTGGGTCGCCTGGTGACTACAGTATAGTTGAATCTGGGTCGCCTTTGCGCTGCATCAGGGCTTCTGAGGGATTTTGGTTTTCGTCTACAGAGTCTTTGTAGGGTAGATAGATTTGCTATTGAATCCAAGCTCTCCACCCAGCAAGCAGACGTCCATCTCGTCTCCACTCCGAACATGGATCAAAGGACTTTGTGGACTTGGACGGGAGCATAGGAGCGATGTATTGTTTGAGAAATAGATCAGATGCCTCCCTACCTCGTGACCCTTTGGCAGTAGACCAATTTGGTCACGTGTACCCGGTCAGGAGCAAATGAATTGAGTCCCAAATGCTCCTGGTGGCGCCGGCCCACGAAAAAACACCAATGCTTAATGCTGGCCATATCTACATAATTTCATCTACATGCATGGAGCGTTTGGGAATTTCTGGTTGATCTCCAAAAGATTTTGATCAGTGATCTAGGTGCTTGCTGTGGTAGTTCTCAGGCTTGAGACGATCGCGAAATGAACCCGCTTGTGAGGATTCCACCTCCCTACAAATTTGCCAGGGCCTACAACCCCAAGGCCTGCCTGAGGGCGGCGACTGAGTGTCAGATGATGTTTTCCTCCGGAATCCAACAGGTTTAACCTTTTGGGATGATAGAATTAGGTGTTCAATTGATACGGTGTTCAAAAGCGAGATATGCATTTCTGATTTCGATTGTCCCTGTTTCTCCTGATTTGGTTCTTGCGCAGCAACCAACTTCATGAGCTTTTCTCAAAGCACGTCCCATAGGTATATTTTCAGTTGGAGTGCCTTTTGGCTGATCAGAGGAAGTGGTTGAAAAAGGGTCAACATAGGTGAATCTTGCAGTCCCATGGACGCTTTGCTTGAAGAGCCGATTCCATGACACCAAGAGCCGATTGCTCCGATTCCACCAACCCCCGAATTCCATTTGACAGATCTTCGGCCTTTCCAGACGGAGAAACTGCCGCCCCAGACATCTCGTGCTGACAGTAGTTGATGGTTGAACCTTAGACTTGGACGTAGAGGACGTTGGAACACCCCACTTGACTCGAGCTGGAACAGCCATGAACGGCAGGATCCGTTGGAGCAAGGCCTCATTGGTTGCTCCTTATCCTACCAGCTACGCATGCTGGAGCCAGACGCTGGACCAAAGGACAAGAGGGTGACGGACTTGAATCAGAGAGAGAGAGAGGTCTTCTTATAATCTGTTTGTCTAAGGTTTCTTTTCTTGGTCGTGTGAGACCGTGACGGAGTGGGCAAGTAGAAGGGTGCATGGATGACAGGGGGGGTCATATATATGGAGGATTAACCGAAGGAACCACCGAACCTGGAAGATCACTAGGAGGCCTTCTCGATCAATCCACTTCCTTAATCCTTCTGCCGTCCACATCCATTCATCCACTAAGGCCTTCTCCTTAATCCACTTTCTGGATTCCTTAGGCCTTCTCAACCACTTCCTTCATCGACTTCCTTAATCCATCCACAAAAAATCCTTAATTCATCCACTTCATTTGGATTAGGCACCTTGCAAAAAGAGTCATGGCCTTGCACCCCCCCCGTGATTCCGTGCCACAGAGCCCCGTGATTTGATGTATGACCGAGACGCTTGATCCCGCATACGTCCCGATCTAAACCCATACGTCCCTCCATGGAACTGGAATAGTATGCCATTGACCAACCACCCCAATGTAGGCTCAAAAACGGGCCAACAAAAGGTTTATAAAGAAGCCAGTAAAGAAGCCATACATGGAGCGTATGGGAAAAAGCACCGACGGCACCGACGGCACCGACGTCCCGACGTTTCGACCGAGGCGCCCAGCGGGGCGGGGACACCGCGAGCACCGAACGGAATTGACGCCCCAACCAGGAGCGATCGGACGCTACAAAAAGGGGCGAAACTGGCCTTACTGCTAGTAACAAGAAGCAACTAAAAGCGTCCGATCGCTCCTAGTAAGGCCAGTTTCGCCCCTTCTTTTAGCGTCCGATCGCTCCTAGTAGCGATGGTCTCCAACTAGGTGAGAGAAAAGTGAACCTGGCAGTCTCCATCTTCCGTTCGCGACGGAGCGACGGAACTCGCAGCGGACCGGTCCAGGGAGCCGCCGGCCCAGGTCCAGCGGGACATGGTCCAAGGTGTTTCAACCACACCCACCGGTTCGTTCTTTCCATCGCATCCAACCGGGTGACCGGAAGGTCCAGGACCGGCGCTCAGGAATATATGCTCTTGATCTACTCGGAGCATGATACGGCACCTTAGCACCAACACAGTACAAGTTGGAAGTCGTTCCAACGAACGACCGGCTCTTGGATAACAATTTGAGTTCGTGGTAGTTTCACAGTTTGCTTGATTCACCCACCAAATCAGCATTTTCTCCACTTCTCCCTGTGCAAAGCTGCAGAGCTTGTCCTGGTTCCCGCTTCCTGCAAGGTTTTCGTTCACAAAGATCTGGCGGCAGATTTGGAGACACTCCCTCCAGGCAACCCTCGGTAGCTTGTTGACAATACACAGTTGTTGAGTTATCCAGTTATACACTACATATATATATCGCAACTTGTTGGGGATGCAACCTCTCTTACTACAACTTTCTACTACTATACTATTATTACTGCTACTGCTACTGCTACTGCTACTGCTACTGCTACTGCTACTCCTACTACTACTACTACTACTACTACTACTACTACTACTACTACTACTACTACTACTACTACTACTATACTACTGTTGTTACTATATTAACTAGATTGCTCGCTGTACCACCTTGTGGGTCACGCGTTTTTCGATCGAAGACATGCAAAGGCATCCATGGAATTCGTGGGGGAATCGGTTCTTTGAACCGAGTGGTGCTTTGTGAGGAGTAACGGATTGTGCGCCCCGCTCTGGTCCTGGTCCTTCACTTTCTTGGACCTCTCCATTCCCTGCCATCGAAGGGTCCTATAGGGTGGATGCCATCGCTAGTAATTAGGTTGGAGGCCATCGCTACTATAGTCCCACCCAACATTGACCTCGGCAGGGCGGCTGTTTCCCTGGACACGCTACCCCTTGCGCTTTCCCGTCGATGAGCACGATGCTGGGACGTCGATGAGCATGCCGGTACACTTTGGTGAACTTGGTCGGGTTTGGTCCAGCCATCTCGGTCAGTAAAACTCTTCAAGTTGATTCAAGTTGCATGTGTTTGTTCATGGGCGTGATCCTGTCGAAAACTACCCAACTTGTGAACCTGCCCTGGGTAAGTTATGTGTGGGAGTGCTCCTTGCCCTGACTTAACTATAGTCAATGTACTTCAGCAGCTTCGAGCCATGTAAGACTATTTCAAGAGCAGAAATGTCAAGACTTCTCAACTTGTCAACCCTTGCAGGAGAGACCAGCTGTGTGGAGCGCTGTTGATATGCATATAATTTACATCATATAAAGGGAAGGATAGATAGTCTCTCCCTTGGACCTTGGATCCCTGTTTCTCAGAGAGCAAGCCAGCAATCGCAACTTTGGAGGCTATCTTAAGATCAGCCATTCAATGTCAAGGATCACCTAGTGCCCGCCCAGTGCAGAACGTTTGCCATAATTATCAACAACAGGCAGGAACGATCTAGCTCTTTGGCAAAAAGGTGGCTACGTACAACTTCATTGCTGGGATCTAGCTGCTTTGGGCCTCGCGATCGGCTGCCGGTGTACCGCCGAGGACTGCTTCCGTCGCAGCCGCTTCTTGCACGATGTGGATGCAGCCGATCGGAGCTTGGGGCACAAGCAGACAGGCCGGAGAACATGGGCAGCGCGATGTGAGGCGGCGTTTGACACCACCTTACTACTAGGAGCAAGGGCAGCAACAGAGGGCATCGCTACCAGTAACAAAAGGGATCGCTACTAGTAGCTTCTGGCCTTACTAGGAAGAAGAAGCTGATGAGGAGGATTTGAGATGCTCCTGCAGATGTTTGGAGCACATGTTGCATGTATATAATTCTGCTGTGAGAAAACATTAAGATATTAAAGTGTTGCTTCATGATGTTTCATGATCAGAGTTGATAGGACGTTTCTATATGTTCTTTAACTCTTACTGTATGTGAGGGATATCCTGAGGGACATTGGGGGAAGCATCTGCTTCACCGGCGAGCGGAACGACTCCCGACCGAGGCGAGCGGCGGTTGTCGCCGCCGGAGATTCCCCTGGCCGCGCTGCGCGACTGGCGGAGCTCCACCCGGCCGCGCTCGAGCACCCTGGAGCCGGGTAGACGCGGGAGACGCGACGCGCGGGCTCCGCGGCGTAAGTCGTGGAGCCGTGGTTTTTGCTGTTCGTCGAGATGGAGTAGCGTTCGAAGTGTTGGAAAGCAAAAATGTGTCTCAAAAAATGAGGCACTGACCAATGATTTGTGTGTGTGATGTTGTTTTATACGTATCCGGTAGGTTTCCTTACATTTTTGGTGGTGTCAGTGTCAGTGGGGTGTTCTCACAGTGTGTCCTGTTTTTTTTGCAGATCATGTTCCACTTCCATCATACTGGTAGTGAGTTATCCCATGAAGTTTGTCGTCATGCTCATGGATTGCGCTTGTCTACCCCGTTTCTGCTTCTCCGCATGGCATGGCAGGAGTACATTTGGGGCAACATCACTGCTACCAAGACCTCGGAGGATGTGCTGCACCTTGGTTGCGCTGAGAAACGGCCTGGTTAGATCAACTGAAACTCTAAAACATACATATATAATCATATATATATATGTCACAAGCCATTGTGAAGTTTTCTCGGTTTTCTCTACAATCCCTGAACTTGAGGAGTCTATCATTGCTATTTGTTGTAATTACTGTACTGTTGGTACTTATATTTTTTTCCGGAAGATCCTTGCTCAGTCATCCTTGCTCAGGCAGCATGTGCGATACCTCTTAGACCTTTAGCGTCGACCAGCTGCTTGGTGTGCAATCATCTGTGATGTGGTTAGGGTCATTGTTTTGTCAAAACACCTCATGTAGTTGGATTAATAAGGTCTCCCAGATGGAGAGGCTTTACAATCCAACCGGGAGGTTGGTCAAGAATTCAATTTCACCATGCAAACATCGTGTCAGGACGTGCTGTGCGTACCAACGCCAGTTGCTTTGATGAGGCTAGGCAGGTCACGGATACCATTCATCAAGCAACCTGATCCCAGGTCCAGGAACGAAGAGGAGATGTTTTGACCATCCGCGCACCGGTGATCCATGGTGATCCTCCGTTTCACGCATCGGCGTCAGAACGCCGCTTCGACCACCGCGTTCCCGGCACGTTCCGGTCGCCGAGGCGCGCTGAGGCGCCGTGCGTTCCACCCGTTCCAGCGGCCGGCCGCAGGTGAATGGTGCCGGAGACGTCGAAGAAAGACGATCGGGTGGAATCCACTACTTGCAATCCATGGGATTGGAATATGAACAATTGACCGTTGAGACATTGGAACATCACCCCAAACATTGGGCATTTGGTTCCCCAGTCCTGTGGATTGTTTGAGATGACATCAATGTGAACACCATGATGCACCATGCTGCATGAAACCACATATAAGAAACACCACATGAAACACTTATGAATGCTTCACATCGTTTCACTCGTTGTTTTTCTTTTGAACGGGATCGGATTCAACTCTTTGGTTTCAACTGGGATCCAGTTGCTTCAGACAATGGAAGACCCCTGGAAGAGCGGTTTAGCGGTTTGGGTTCCTGGCAAAAGGCATATTATGAAGTAAGAACATCAAGGGGTTGAACAAGAGCAGCAGGTTCCAAGTTTTCGTTCCAATTTTTGGGCGTTCTCACAAATTCCACACGCTTTTTGTTGTGTGTGTGCGCGACTTCCAGCCAGTAGTATTTGCAAATGAATGCTCCGGATGAGAAACTCAGTGTGACTTCCGCCAACTGTGTCAAGAGGATCTCACTTGATCGACCAGTTAAACACTCTGGCCATCAAACAGTGAACACTCAAATCGTGGCTCCAGTAAAGGCGAGGAAAACAAAAGGCGATGGCTCCCAATCCATCCATTGCACCATCCGCGGTGTTTTCGGAGCTTCGAGGGAGCTGTGTGACGTATGGGCGCCCTGAAGTCTCAGTTTCCATCGCTCATGACGTCAGTTGGGATGAGAGCCCAAGGAGGACGAGACCAAGTGAATCCCCTGCAGCGCTGCAGCGCTTATTATATAAGACTGCTCGAGTCCTGGCATTGAGAGAGACCAGCGAGATAGCGCCAGCGATTCCTCTCGATAGCTTGTGGATTGATGGATCCAACGAGGAATACCCGCAGGATTCTTGTTCCGAGACCAACAGTTCACGCACACAGAACTTACAGAATCCATCAGATTTTTCTTGGCCGAGAGACATTTACTTGGTGGAATGAAGGCCACCCCCCCCCATTTTCTTGGCCAATCAGACTGACCAACTTTGCTAGAGCCGGAGGTGAAGGCATGCCAGTCGTCCTTTCCAGGCCAACGGGAGGCCCACGGCGGTCGACACCGAAGAACGTGGTCCACCTGGTCGTTCGACGCTTGGATCGAACTGGACGCCGTGGCACACCACTCATGATGGCGTTTTGTAAGGTTTGATGATTTTGATGTGTGCATTGCCGTTTTTATTGTTTAAAAAATAACAGGTATTCTTCCATCAAACGCCGAGACTCACCACAGTCACCAGGCGTCATGTGAAAGTGATTTTAGGTATTCTTCCATTCTGATCTCTATTGATCTCTATTGATCTCTATCAAGTGCTGGGAACTCCAGGCTTTGAAGTAGCGTTTGGAAAGAAGCGTGAACGACCCCAGATCGAGCGATGATTTGGCAGCAAAACAGGGATGAACTCGGCAAACTTTGGGGTTTGAGCGCTAGCAACAGGATCTCAAAAGGGCAATCATGTACCGGAATTCCGGAGAGCACTTTTCATAACAATTCTGCCATCTTCTCCTGGGGCGTCTCCTCCTCTTGAAACACTTTCATTTCTTGCAAATGATGTTTATAGGAAGTATGGTGTTGAGCCATTGATTCGCAGAATGCATATAGTCGGAATGCAAGCAAGGGACCAACAGGTACTTCGACAGAGGGACTAAGAAAAAAATGGTCCGCTACTTCAAACACTCCCAGTACACTAAAAAGGCGACAGCTGATGTCTTCTTGGCCTCACAGGGGGACACTCACGGCCCCTTTGATGGTGTTTTCTAAGGTCATGCCAACGGGTGATTCCCTTGGCGCCCACCGCGCCGGGGGTGTGGGAATCGAGCACCAAACGCTCCGCCTTGGCGCCCACCCAGCGACTTCGCCATCCGCCCACCGCGGGTCCCAAAAGAGCGTCCCAGCGAGCGGAGAGAGGCCGAAAACAGCAGGGAATTGGCAGGTTTATATGCCGATGTTTGAAGTGCCTGGTTTTGGTATCGATATGTGACGATGGTTGTATATTGAATTGTAGTGTATTTTAGTATTGTATGGTCCAGGGTCTTGAACGATGTGTTTGTAGAAAGGTGTTAGCAAGTCTCGTTCAATTCGAAGGGTTCTGGATGGTGAACACACCACTAGTCTGATTGTTGTAGATGCATGCATGACTGCCCCTCCCGACTTTCGTTCCTGATACATGTTCATCAGATTTATACCCTGGTGGTGTGCCGGGAACTGGCGGCAACAGGTCACACTCTTGGCCGTTGTGTTGATTTGCATCTTCATATTTTGTATATATATATATATGTGTGATCTTGTCAACACCTTTTTGTGCAAGCATCTGTCTATCAGTACTAATATCAGTAATCTATAGCAAAGCCACCAGGTCTCTCGAGGAGCAGCTTAGCTCCGCAGGAGCTGCAAAACATGCAGTGGGTCGGCCCACAAGCGTCCCAAGCCTTGGCACGTGCGAGCTCGTGGGGGAGCTCAAGCGAGGTCCGGGGTCAGTGGTCCTCACCATCCGCGCGAGTTCGAGGGTCGGAATATGTCGGAATCCTGAAGAATCCTATCGGACTGGAGGTTTATTTTTTAAATGTTGGGGTAGGTTCAAACTATTTTGAGGGTCAATCCATGTACTGGTATAGGATAGGTAAAATATTCCATGCATGGATGGTTCGGGAATGGTAGGCGTGTTCATAACCTGATGAGTGCAACGAAGGCCTGTGTTGGATCCTATCCGATCGTATTCGATGAGTTAAATCAACTAAAAACCCCTTAAAACTGATACCTTTAGAACCCATGAAGCCTTTAAGACCCATTGTCATCCACTGTTGATTTGGACGCGTCACTTGTTTATGAAGGCCACGGGACGGTCTGAAATCTCTGAGGCCGGTCGAGCCAGTCGAGCCAGTCCCGCCAGCCAGCGCGAGCGGAAGCCGCAGCGTGAGCGCCAGCGGACGAGGCTGCATGGAAGACCTGAGGATGGGAAGGGATTTCTGAATGAACCAGGCACTGTTCTAATGTTGATATTGTTGAAAGACTAATTTGTTTGCCATGTTCACTAGTCTATGTAGTATGTGTTTTTTCTTGGTCAATTTATTCTTTGTGGTTGAACCAATTTCTTTCGAAAGAGTTTCTGAGATAGTCGTAACCATGGGAAGGATCTCCCTGAAAGCATTACGTGGACGTTCTTGGCCGCCTTTTGTTTCGACCGAGGAAGGGGGTTGGCACGGCTGGAGGCATCAATGGGGTGAACATGATGATGACACATCCAATAAATTAGTATGTTCATCATAACTATTTGTATCATTCGCCACTTAACAGTTGAGTGTATTTCTTATTGTTTAAGTCGTGGTGTTCATTTTACAAATGTAGTTTTGACAGAAATCTATAGTTGGAATTATATGAATATATTCACTTTATGTGTGTTTTCTATATATATATATGTTTTTACCACAGCACATACATATCTCTTTATCATAGTTGCCCTGTTGTTTAATGAACATGTTTAATGATGTTAATTCCTGTACTTCCTTATATTTTATATCAACTAGATTTTACGTAGTGTAGATGGTATCCCTGTATTTTATTGGTATGCTTTATGGATGATCAGGATTTTAATACAAGGAAACACGTTACAAATCTTGATCATTATTATCAACCTATTTCGCTCACCTTTAAACTTCCTTGTTGGTGTGGGCACAACAAACATATAAACATCACATTATCCTCAATATATTGTGCAGTAGACCATTTGCTTAAAAAAGCACTGAATATATTACATGTCTTTAATTTTGAAGGGTACTATGATAGACAAGAAGTTGTAGCTGCAAACATATATCAATATTGGATAGAATAACCACTGTTTTTTAAGTATCATAAACCATGAATACACATCACATCACATGAATTTAATCATAATGAACCAACACATTGTCTTATTGTTGGAGAAGGACATCGAATACATTATGATCATGCATAGTTTATTGTTCTTCTGGTGTCAACGTTATTCTGTCCCTTCCGTTATGTGTTTGTTTATCCTTTGTTATTATGGTATTTCGTTATTTGTTTGTTTTCATGTTAGTGTTGTAGTTATTTTTTGGATTTTTAATGTTGCTTGTGTTGATGATGTTATTTGCACACCGACTGTAGGACTTCTGCTTGCCTTGAGCTGATTTTCTCAGGGGTCGTAAGTCCAGATTTTTTACCCATATGTAATGTATGGTTGGACGTGGCAGAGTGCCAACAATCGGTCAACTTGCGGGTCTTTAAGTGTTTGCTCCTGGCATATTCGCCCCTGCAAATTATGACCCGAAGCAGTTGGATGGATTCAACATTTGTTTGGTGAGTGCACTTGCTGACCAGTCCATGCCACGGCTGTCAGTTTGCAAGTGCCACTTGCAGCTCATGCCACTTCAAAGTGGACAATGGGATTGACCACCGACCCCAGCAAAACAAGCATTATATACAAGATGTATCATGTCTTTGGCGCCAAAGCAAGCAATCCCAAACCACACCCAAAGGGTGCCAGAGCGGCTAAGATGCGCGCAGCATCTACGGCGGATAGAGATCGTCTATAATCAGGATCGGAACAAATTGAAACATGTGTTGGCCTAAGCATCATCCCTAAGTCTCGATTTCGTTCAGACTGTTCAGCCTGTATACAGGACGGCTGTTTCTCGGTTCCCAGATCGTCTACTTTTTGAGGACCTTTACAGTGGACGGAAGCCCGTCGCTTGCTCGACTCTACTCAATGTGGTGGAGAAGGTGAGCGCATTCTTCTCAGTAAAGCTGAAGGTGTCAGCCTTATAGATCGGTGGGGTCCCACATCCCCCAACTGCATATTTGGCGCTGTGAAAGGGGCATAGAAGAACACAACTAACATCAACCTTGCCAATTCTGAAAACAAAGCCATACCTTGCTCATTTTTGTGTGCCTCCGCGGCTATTTGAGCTGATGATGAAGGTGTTTGAAACATTGGAACACCACTGCATGTTTCGTGGCGGCCGACTAAATAGA